TCTGGAGGCGAAACAAACGGACGAACGGACGGTTTTCCATTTCTCCGATCGATTTTGCCGATAATGGCGACAACAACAGTGGAAAATAGCGAGAGAGCCATTAGTCCGGTGATTAATGATTGCTTATGATCGAACAGAAGCGAGGCGCGTTCTCGCGCCTCGATACTCGCCTCTCTCGGTTCTCGCTACCGCAGATTTTCGGAATTCAGGTTCTTTTATACCACTGGGACGAACGTTATTGCGAGAGAGAGAGAGAGAGAGAGAGAGAGAAAGAAAGAGAGAGTGTGTGTGTGTGTGTGTGTGTGTGTGTGTGTGTGTGTGTGTGTGTAGTGTGTGTGCAAGGGAATCGCGATAATAAGAGACGCGGGACCATTATTCACGTGAGTGTCTTAGCGAGCGAATGATTCGCGAGCATACAAAAGGCGACTATTGATGGTATGCGAGAGAGAGAGAGAGGCCGCGAGAATGTCGAGATTATTTATTAAACTGCAAAGGATAAGAACAGCACACGCGGTTGAGAATCGTGTGACGAAGCTCGTACCGAGGTGCACGCCAGCTCACCGTATCTTCGATCGAGCATTCCACTGTGGTGGATACATATTATCCTTTTTTTCCTCTATTTCTCCCGAGCAGCCAGTTTAATAAATCCCGACGGCCGAGTGTAACGATCGAGGTCAGTGCCAAGTTTCCTTGGCACATGCCGCTCGCGCGATAATAATGTTTCTTTTTTTTTTTGGTCTCGAATAATTACGAAATGTGAACTTTATCGTTGAAAAGAAGGAGAGACGCTCTCCCGTCCGGAACATCCGAACATTCAGCCGTTGCATATCGATCGTCGCGGCCGTCGTTAAAGGCAGATCGCGTATAAAGACGGGGAATTAAACCGGTTATCAAAGTACTGAAACAGAGAGAAAGAGCGTGCAATTAAGATATCCGAATTGGAGTTGGCTCGCCGGCTCGCGGTAGAACCGATTGCCTTTGTAGCATCTGTCGAACGGCGGTAAAACCCGATTTTCAGATTACGCGGTCCCATTGAGAGACGCGAGAGCGTTGGCGGTAGTCGAGAAGACGAGGAGGCGATGTGACTGACAGGCTTCATGGTTTATTCGACAAGTCGGAGAGCACACAGGGAAGCCTATAACATCGTATCCAGCTTGCGCTTTGGGTTAACAGCCTGGGTGTCCGACGATGTACCATGATGCATGACGCGGTGTCGGGTTCCAATTCGCCGGGCATCCATGAAAGCAAGCTCTGTGCCCGATGTAAAATATCGGCGATTCGGGATTAAACGAAGCACGCGCGTCAGTCGTGTGCATGCGGTAGATGAGGACCGGCGATTGCGTCTCTTTGAACGATTACCTTCAGCTTGGTGTGTAAACCAACGATTTTGCGGCCAACTAACACACGCGCGCGCGCGTGCTAGTGCATTGTTAATGTCAGAGCTCCTCAAGTCAGAGTCAGGACATCGTGTCCACCCTTTGTAAAATGGAAGTGAGTAAGTGAGTGAGTGTGAATGAGTGAAAGAGAGAGAGAGAGAGAGAGAGAGAGAGAGAGAGAGAGAGAAGCTGCAGCGCGCTTCAGTATTTTAGAGCTTCTCTCTCATTCCCACTCACATCATCCCTACGAATGGCCGGCAGGATGCAGACCAATCAGGAGTCATCATGCTTTGTCCCAACTCTGACCAGGGTAACTCGTAGTTAATGCGAAAATTCGCGCGAACAAGCGACGAGCGGAAGGACGAACGTGTCGGCTCTTCTTCCGAGGAGTCGAGAGAAACTCGGAGCGAGCGACGGTTCTTTGAAACACGAAGGCTAAAGAGGCAAATGTATTCTATTCTTGTTCACTTTGGCGTAATTAATGACCAGGGTCTGTTACAGGCTATCCTCAGGCAGATGTTCTATTCCATGTACTCGATGTATCTCTTTAAGTGAATATTAATCCGCCGACGTGCAATCGATGACCCGGGAGAATCGATTGCACTACTGCGCTTCGTGAAATCGATCCGGCAGGTTGCGGCGCACCGATGCGTCCGATGATGTCTGAAACGTTTACAATCGCTCGACCGCGCGGTGGTATAAAAAAGGAACGCGCATAACAGTTTACATTTCATCGGTGACAGTGACGGGAGATATGCGCGCTCATGTAAATGTTAGACCGACGCCCAGATTAAACTGCGTCGATTAAATCGCGTACAACTTTGCCGAAGATATGGAAAATGCTAGGTAAATAGCGGCGACCATCGGTTACGATTCGTATACCCACGTAATTAGAACGCATAAGCGTTATTAAATATTGTTTATCGTCGCGTATCCATTCGCGTCAGCCGGGTCCCGCGCGCATGCAATCGCGTAATAAAATTTCACGTAATCACGACTTGCTGTATGAAATTTGCTAAAGTATTAAAATAGCTATTAACATAGTGACAAAATATCCATTAATATAACGCCAAAATATCATTTCATACAGTCATTGACCATGTTTGATTCGTTTGGTCATTGGCCACATCTGATTTGTCATTTAATAATGTACTAATGAATGCATAGAGGGTTGGCACGATGCACTTTGCACACATGCACACCCTCACACTTATTAATAGATATAGTGACTATTATAAACGATCTTTATGTAACCATGTCTCTCTCTCTCTCTCTCTCTCTCTCTCTCTCTCTCTCTCTCTCTCTCTC